GGGAAACCTGGCTTTTCATCCTGTGTTCGCATATTGTTTTATGCTTACGTAATTTTAGATTTTGGAGATGTATTATTATTACGCTGTCTGTCCATCTGCCTAACAACGCCCATAAGCTTTATTTTTTTGAGGTATGACTTTCATATTTTGTTTGTTTATTACTTTTGCCAAGTCCCTTCCTTTTTGGTTACATCATTTTCAACTTATTAACCTTAACATTGGAGTGAGACAAGTGTTTGAAAAGAATTACCAGACTACATGTAACCATGGCCATAACCTTTGAATGATTGATGCATTGACTTTCATTTTTCAGGTCAGGTATAGTCCCTGACAAAATCTACTCTTAAATACCAACATTTTTTTTACGATTTAAGTTTGGACTTAGACCTTCATTTGAAAAACTTTAACCTTTTGCATAAGTTTTGAAGAGTTGGCGCTACTGCTTTAATATTTAATATGTTTATTCCCTTGGGCACTATTTCCATTTTTTGCTATTTTTACCATTTGTTTATATCTGATATCTTCCATTGAGTAGGACCTGCTTTCAAAACCTTTCAATAAGGCTAAAACTTTGAAAAGATTGGCACTGACAAGTTTACATTTCACATGTCAATTTCCTGGGCATCATATATTGGACCATTTGACCAGATGTTTGACCTATTTTAGAAAAAAAAAACTTAAAACTTGACCTTACATTTTGTTCAGTTAGGGTGCTCATTTTGCACAGGTGAATTATTAGTGACAATATCTTTTTGGGATTCACCATTTTTAGCTTTTGACGGCGTAGTTTTACTTTTTAAAAAATATTCGGTGTTTCTCAAACTATCTTCTTTTATTCTTTCTTTGCAAGGGATTTTCATTGAAATTTCTTATTTGATTTATTAATTTATAAAATTTACTTTAAAACCTAAAATAAAAAAAAAACAGTGATAGAACGTCAAGAGCACAATCATCTTGAACTGCATATTGTTTTCTAAATCTAAATGTACATTAATACTAGATCTGCATTTCAGTTAAAAAGTATATATATTGTTCAAGTTGATTTATTAATTCTTTACACCAATATATACTCAGTGCCAAATGCATACCTTCAAAATCTATTACCAGACCGTTTGGCCAATATAAGCCTTTCGTAATAAGATCTTGCCTTTCTGATCCATCATAGTTGGCCCTTTCAATCCTTGGACTCTCACCCGAATCCGTCCAATATATAACCCTGTAAAACTAACTATTTTAGGACGTCAGAGAACAAGACGGATATTCGAAATACTATTTGATGTTCAATTTATATAATAATTTTACTTCAACAAATGTATATCAGAATACATTTGTGTTAATGTGTGAATGCATACATGTCTTAAATTGAAAAAGAAAATAAAGGGTAGTGATATAGATAAGAATTACTTGATAAAGATAAATAAAAAGGACTCATCAGTTATCGTGACATTAAAACAATTTTTTTTGTGATATTATGTCAAAGAAGCGGACCATATATGGTTTACCCAGTTTTGTAATCGGAAACAATTGATCTTGGCTTATCCAAGCTTCCTTTATTATCTTTTTCTGATAATTATTTCCGTCTAGAGTAACCACAGAAATAGAGCTATATCCTGAGTCTGTGAAGAAGAGCAACCTAGACACCGAGTCTATGGAAATCCCATCTACCACGGAATCTGTAAATGAAATGCATATAGTTTACAGTGGGTGCGTTTGATCTTCATTGGCTACCAACATGTAGTATTCCCACTCATCTTATGCACCTCTGAATTTTTTGGATGAATATCTTTATATAAAGGTTTAATGAGTTCGATCATTGTTCATTATCTTCATTTAAATCACTAGTTAGTTATAATGGATTCCAAGAATACTTACCGTTTCCAAGGTAACGGACAACTCTGTTCGTTTTGCCTTCAAGGTCACCAGATTTCAACTGACGTAATCCATTATCTGACCAGTAAATGCGTTTCTTTGCTTTATCGAAACTTATAGCAACAGGATTGGGATGGAAGCCAAACAAAGGTTCACTGATATACGTCGATAAATTCATCTTGTATATCTCGCCTTCTCGAGAATCAGTAAAAAGCAAAAAGTTCCCATCGTTTATTGCTGAAACATAATCATTTTCAGGACATCAAAAGTACTACTTCCATAAAAACTTCTGTGTAGAAAATATGTCTGTTTTTTTATTGTTATTATCATTCAGTATACTATTTGAAATACAGTGAATCCTGTCTACTACGGACTCTGTGTATTCTAATCATGTGTAATAACCTGTAAACTTTAAGTCCCTTCCGGTGAATTCGATTATTTAAAATGTTCGCAAGTGAGTTAAGGCTATCTATAGAGTTTTTAATGTGCACATTATGACGTCATTGACCTCTACTACACAAGTTTTTTAAGAAACAGAAACAAAATCGCTTCGGTGCAAGGCCAAACTTTACTTTGTTTTATAGAATTAAGGTATAAAAAGACGCAGGATATTCTAAGGATTTGAGATACTGCTGCACAAATGACAATTTTAAGTTTTAATAGGGGAAATTCGCAGTCCAGTATAAGTTTCATAAACTTTTTATCGATAAAGAAAGTGCATTGGATTTGTACAGCAATTTCATTTATATTTAACATTATACATTATTTACATTTTTAAAATTATATAGGAGATGACCTTGCGCCGACGTTGATTTGTTGATGTGTTTTATTACCTTGGATCGGAAAGAACAACGACGTCATAAGATGACGTCATAATGTGCAGTTGCATTACTATACTGTGGATACTAAGCATGCATAAGAAAATAAATTTACACTTTCTCAGTACAAAAAATATACAATCTATTCATTATAATTAGCTCATTTGCAAGGAAAACTTAAATCACTTGCATTGTCTAAGCTGAAATGTTGTCTTAACGATCAAATTTCTTTGGAATCATTGGTGGCCGGATTAGTCAAGTTTTACTATACATATTCGTATCTCTAATTGTATAAAGGCCGTGTCACACTGTCACGATTTATGCTACGATTACCCACGTATTAAGAAAAGTTGAAAATCGCCGTTCATCGCCAGGTTTGTCTTGCGATTTTTCTACAGCGTGTGGAATATTTTGCTGCTAGAATGGTGTGTCTACGATGTCTGTGCGACAAAGTACGAGGTTTCTACGATTTAAGTACGAACTGAGGCGACAGCGTTACGAACTAGTTACAATATTTCTACGATTATGAAGGATTAAACGCGGATACATACGATACTCGTACGAAGGACTACGATATGCCACGTTACATACACGATATTCCCACGACTAATGGCGACTTCTTACGAATATACATGTAATGGAAAGCATATAAAGAGTAGAGGGAGATTTGTCTGATATCATTAAACATCATAGTTATATGTTATTCGATAATGGTAAAAACTACAGTGCGGAACTTTTCATTATGTTCAATCTCGTCATGTGTTTATTGTACACGGTGTTTATAGTTTCTGTTACACATATATATTCAATTTATTTCACTTTTCTTAGCTTCTTTCCTTTTATTTTAGGCAGTATTTTGATTTCGACAGTGTTTACATCAGACACCGTCTGCCTACATCGTATTAACTCGTAGTTCAATCGCACAGTGTTCGTACAGCACTTGCCATCAATTGTCCTTTTTTGTATCATATTCGCGGGAAAGTCGTACTATGTTCTTATCAATCCGAAGAACGCTCGCAGTTTCTCGTAGGACACTCGCAGTAACTCGAGACACACTAGCACAAACTCGAAGGACACTCCAAATAACTCGTAGGACTCTCGTAGTGTCGTGAGTACTACGAAGTTCCGCGAATGTCGCACGAACTTCGAAGATTTACTACGAATATGAGTACGACCCATACGAAAAAGTGTAGTTGACCGTCAACTAGCCGTCAACTAACCGTCAACTAGTCGTCAACTGATAATGCGAAAACAGTTGACCACTCGGAGTTGAATGCTTTTCTGAAAAGCGATCAACTGATTTGCATAAAACGGCCAGTTGACCATTAGTTGAATGCTAATACTTTTCATGTAGAACCCGAGTTGACCACTAGTTGAACACTCCGACTTGTTAGAAAATTTCTCCCACGCTACATTTATGTTGGGTTCAAAATTACATTATCATAGATCGGGTTTATTATACCATAATTACAACAACCAAGATTTGAATCAGTACATGTGTGTTTTCTGTAGAAGATGGGAATTTTGATTTGAAACATTATTGTCTTGTGATGATTCCGCGTGTGAAATATCTCATGTACTATTGTAAGTATATAAAATTTTAAGATTTGTTTTACTCAGCTTGTTATTTTTAAACAGATAATAGGAATACAAAAAACTCTAACCAGTATAGCTCCCTAAACTCCCTATTTTTGTGTACCTTTTTAAATATTGAAAGAATTCTGAAAACTTGTCATGCATCAAGTGTTTTGTTGTGTATCTTGTTGTGTTGGTAAAAAATATACCGTTGCTTTAGATAAATTCTATGTATACATGTAACCTTTTCTGCCCAGAAAATGAAGAATGCATGTAACAACTTATGAGAGTGTGCCAGCTTATAATGGATTTAGATTTACAAGTACATTTATGTCAAATTAGAAATTCTATTGGTTTGACTTTTCATATTTTCAAGAACACTGCTTGTCTTCGATTTCAAATCTCCCTCCATTTTTTTCAAATATTTAATGAAAGCAACCCACGTGCACTGACTAATGGAATATTCAACTAGTGGTCAACTGCAAAGGAAAAAGAGGAGAAATCAACTAGCGGTCAACTGCAAAGAATATATAGGAGCATTCAACAGTGGTCCACTCTATGCAAATGAGTTGACCGCTCAATCATTTGCATGGCAAAAATTCAACTAATGGTCAATTGACGGTCAGTTGACCGTCAACTAGTAGTCAACTGATTACTCCGATTGAATTCTAATAGTATTTTTTCATATGGGAAGTGCTGTGCGGATGCTGTGCGATTGTCTACGAATAATTAAAAATCGTACTGTGTCCACGATTGTTTTGAACATGCTCAAAACAATCGCCAGGTTTGGCGATTTGCTACGATTCAACAGGAGTAAGGAAGATATCCTACGAGTACTTCTGCGATAAATCCCGATTTGCTGCGATTTTTGAATTCGTAATGAATCGTAGCTATAAATCGTGACAGTGTGACACGGGCTTTAGTGGTACATGTAGAATGTGACTTATTATTAATGCAAAACTCTTATACTCTTCATAAACTTTAATATATTTGAAGTGTAAAATAAATAAGATTGCAACTTATTTCAGATCCCTTTTTTTCTTTAAAAATATATGTTATGAAAAGAAATATGTATTTCACTATTGTTAATCGTCTTTAAAAATAAGAACGGTTATCCTTAAGTTAACAGCAATTACCTAAATATACAGAACATAAATACTCACTGTATACACTGGTTATAAATCCCAGAAATAGGGAGATATGCATAGTCAGTTTTTCTTTCCTTTAAATATAAATAATAAATAATTTAATATTAATAATTATAAATAATAATGCAAGGTTGCAAACAAAAATTATAATACACCTAAATCAATATTTGAGGAAAAAGATATTAATCACAAGGGTATGTTAAGGAAGAATTCAAATCATTTCTCGGGTGTTTATTCTTCTTTTTAAAATTTAAGTCTGATAAGTTATCAATAGATCTAATCTATTATAAACAATCGCAAAACGAAAATAGACTGTTTAAGGTCAAGAAGTGCGCCAACACAAAGTTATCACATGTCTGCTATTAATAAAATATATTTTCATTCATAAAAAGTAAACTGAGCAACACTGCCGCGGTTTTCGAAAGATATCATTTCTTTAAATTAATTATTTAAGGAATGAATTTAATAGCTACCCATTTCATACGGTATAAACTGGGTTGGGGCAGTTTACGATTTATAAAAAAGTGTTAACTATTCCAACCAGTTTATACCGTATAAAATGGGTAGCTATCACATTCATTGCTTATAATTTAATTTTTATTCATTTGATTCAGAAAAAAAAAGATGATTGTTCTAGCAAAATGACTTCAATTTGTACAAAATTTGAATGTAACGTCAGGCGGATTGATACGTTTTTGACGTAAGTCATTGTGACGTAGGCAACCCATCTGATACGATATAAAATAATTTTTTATTCAATCAAATACATCGTTACAACCAGAATTTAACTATATTGCTGAAAACATTTAGAATGCCTAAAACATGCTGCTAGAAAAAATCTCTCTGATTAAGAAAAAAAAATATTCGAAGTGACGATCGCTAAAGACTGACAGAATGGCCGATTTGGATACGTAAATAGCGGTTGTTTTCTATCAAGGATATTATGGCTGAAAAAATACCTGTTTATCTTATTCCAAGTCAAAATAATTACACACGACATTCATAATATTTAACCGCCACCCTTTTAAAGAATCTTTTTACACGCCGTTGTTGCAGAATTCTCATCACATTATTTTCAATTTTCAAGTAATTGAAGAGTCGTCGGTTGCAAGTATCAGATATAGCACAACAAAATAACAACAGTTTGTTTTTGTTGACATTGGCTTGTTTCTATTTATTTTACGAAGTACAGTTACGTCTCATTTATATTTACGTCCCATTCGAGAATTTGTCACTCATTTTGTGACGTCCGGAAACATATGATGGCTTTAATTTTAGACCTTCACTCAGGGCCATCGAGCAGCAATGGTTCTTCATCGTGCCAACCATAGGACGGGACTAGGGTCCAAAATCCAAAAGACCCACAACTTTCTCTTCAGACTGTTTAGCGCTTGGCAAAGTAACAGTTGTTTACTGACTCAGGCCGGTCCAAGCCGTACTTTTAACACAAAACCGTCTGAGCAAGAGCTTTAACGACTAATCTGTCGTGATGGCTGATCGACTGTTATATATACTTCTAGAAAATTTCTCTCTCGCTTACTGGTGAATTTCTACATGTACATATAATAAACAACTTACAGTTCTGTGTTTGTGGAAACGTCAGTGCTTTTATCTGCTGTAATAATAAATTTAGATACACGATTAAGACTCTTTAATGACTGATAGATTTTATTTGTTGACAGAGTAATTACAACAACCATATCTGTAGAATTTGCAAAATGTTGACTTCAAATGCGACATTTGATATCCTTGTTTCATCACCTTTAATTTATTTTATTTCATTTTCTTCAAAAAGCTTGCCTCGTTTTAAAAATTTTAAAAACGTACAGCATCCTCTTAGGAAATTGAAATCCACATTTCCATTGATTTTTTAACAATTTTTACATTGCAATTGCACAATGTAATATATTTATCCATTATGACTATAAAGAGAATATTTTATTTCCTTAATTTTACCTAAAATACTCAAGTATGTTGTACGTTTTATACAATATTCGTTTTTTTTTTTAAAAAAAAACAGGGATAGTTTTATACACACCTACTAACATTGGGATATTTATATGCAACAGACTATTTATAGTCTTATCTTTAAAAACCATTTTGATGATTTTTAAATGTCTCATGCGATTGAATCTCACGAAAAGAAGGCTGTTGATCGGTAAAAAGAGATAACTAAGTGTATCATGAATTAAACTGGTCGGACTTGACGAGATATTGGAATATAAGGAACTTTTATTCATAAAAAAATCCCTTAACAATTATCGTTAACAAATTAACATACAGTGTTTTAAACAGTCTTTTGAAGAACAAAATTCTCATGTATTTTCAGTATGGGTAGTATATTAAAAGTATACCATTATCTGGATATATATTTAGAATTTGACCTTGATAAAAAAATTGCAAGATTGCCAGAGTCATAAGATTATCAACATTGTCTGTGTAAAATCATATCAAATAACGTGTCAATTAGTTATCATAAATTCTAATTATGTATCTGCCTCAGAAATAAAAGTATTCTCTCAGGTTAAATTTCTTATATTTTTAATTTCTTAAATTTCATTATTTTACTATTTAGTTATTGTTGTTGTTATAATTATTACATGTATAAGTATAATTATTATGTGCCTCTATTATTTCTTTTATTTTGGAGGCTCAGAGATCAGAAGACTTGGATGTTCAGTTTTTTTAAAAGATGGAACGTAATAATAAAACCATTAGTATATTACTAATTTCGCCCCCCCCCCTTAAAACTTTTGCATCAACGTTTGAGAAATGAATGGATTTAATATTAAAAATAAATATTATCACTTTCAATACATTTACTAATTCTCTTCTCAGTTAGTACTTCTACGTGTCCCCGATCTGAAAAAAATAATGTTTTTAATTCAACTAGAAAGGGAAAATTAATCTATTTCTTAAATAAGTAATTGTAAATCAAACCATGTTCGTACCTTCCGTGTTCAGAATCTTTTCACGTACAATCTGCCCTGACGTTTTAAAAATCTTTTAACTTCAAGTAACTTTCGTTTTAAACTGTAAGTTCAAGTAAAGACACAGAGAAGAAAATTCCATTGAATCAAAATAATTCCACGTAATTCTCCAGAATAATTTTCAGGATAGAAACTTTAAGACTTTTTGGGTCACATTGATAAAAAAGGAGTTTTCTGCTATTGATTCATAAGAGGTATAATTGAATTAAATACTTTTTGAAATATAACTACGGATATATGTGTACATGTAAAATTGATCTGATTTTGCGATCCAATATTTAATTTTTGATTACATTGAAGCATATAATTCATAAAACATATAAACATCGGATATAGTTAAAGCAGCTTAGTCCGATTCTAATCGCTAAAAAATATATTCGTTTTTCTTCTTGAATGATTGCCCATAAATTGTATCAATTTTGTCAAATTATATCCCCCAAAGTCTTTTTCTTTTAAAAGATATAAAAATTCAAAAGTAAAAAAAAAAAAGTTTTGTAAGGTCACTCAAGAAATAATCCTTTGTTGATATTGCGTGAAATCATCTTCGAAAAATCAAAATTATTGCTTTCATGTTCATGTATAGCTCATGAAGAGCATTTTTTTTTTTACAACAAAGTACTTATACCTATACCCGGGCAATACTGTTATTCGCGTGCGAGAAATTTTCGCGAAGCTCGCGAGTTCCCCGTCCTCGTGAATATTTCTCGCCGCGAACCGGTCTTTGAAGTGTATGTGTCTATCAAAAAATGACCAAAAAGCCTTGGTCGGGAAAATTAATTGTCGCAAACTAGTTTATCCCTGGTAAATCGCGAAATAAAGTCGTCGCGAATAAAAGTTGGTTTACAGTATTTTAGCCTTTGTTACTAAACCTCCTTTAAATATTCTTTAAAAATATCTGATTTTTCTTTATTCTTTAAATATGCATATCAATATGAAAATTACTGTGGATTATATTCAATGAATTTCTTAATTTGTAAAAGATATATCATGACTTAGGCTTCTACTAATGGAAAAGATACTCGGGTTTGAATTATCTTCATAATTAGATATAACCGATAAATTAATTCTTTTCAAAGGTGACTTCACAACAGATCTTAAATTCCCGTCAGGAGCTTCTGTTTGTTGATAGGTTTTTGATCTATGTTTTTCATGTGAGGATTGTTGTAATAAACTATTAAATCAATCTTATAATTTATTTTTATATATTATCTATGTAGTGGTGTACGTTTGTTGTTTAAGATAATGAATGCCTGTTTCGGATGTAGCGGCTTTGAATTGTGACCGAGTCATCACCACTAGGTTTCTAACATTAACCATTACGTTCACTGAGTGACGATGATTAGTGACCATTCAGTCATCATTCAGTAATTCAGTAATACTACTTAATAAACGTTGCTTTATAAAAAAAAATATTTCAAAAGAGCTGTTGATTATTTGATATAATGAAATTATTATAAAATGAAACATTTTGTGTAGATAAGAGTCTTACATAAATGGATGCTTACCGGAAATAATTTGGCTTGCATATTCAATCTTGTATTCTTGGACGAAGGAAAGGCAGTCTTGACATTGCACCTTTAAAAACTATTAGTAAAGTATTTCCAAGAAGTAAAAAAATGTAAAATATTTCTTGGCAAATGGCAAATTCTGCATGTACAGAAGTGGTATAACGATCTACGATTGGAGATATCATTATTGGCCATGTTGAATAAGATATAATTAAACACTTATTTTAAACATTTGCCGTTTTATTCCCCATACTTGAAATGTTAAATTCTGGTTTACCTATATAATTATGGCAAATCTTAAAATCTTATAAAGACCATGTGGAATGTTTATTTTCGTTTGTTTGTTTTTTTTAATTCTTTTTCCTTCAACATCCAAATCATGCGGCACCGAGGAAAGAACAGATAATATTTTAGCGGACAAAATGCATATATGATGAATCATCATTTTGCCATTATATTATTCGATGAAACATTTTTTCATGAAAATGGTCAGAATAATATTCATAGAAGTTTTTTGTTAGTTCCCAGAACGACTTACTGTCAAGCTAAAAATGTTTGACATCCTATATAATATTGTAGTTAGTCTTGGTCATTATTTTAAGAGTGTTAACATAGTTATTCTGTTATGCTAGAAAAACATCTGGCAAAATGAACAGAGTAAAAAAATCTAATTCTACATGGATTCTCATATATAAATCTGGATAAAATTATGATATCACCACATACTCGTATTCATGGAAGAACACTTTGTTCTAGATTAGTTACATAAAGTAAATAAAAATGTTTTTATCTTTGAAGAATACGGAAGATTTTGATACTTATGCAGCAATATACCTTCACCACCTTCAAACGGAGTATATATATCTCAGTTGATTCAATACTCAAGAGCATGCTCTACATATGAACAATTTCTGAAACGAGGTAAATTATTGACAAGCAAGTAGATGAATCAAGAATATAAGCAGTCTCGTTTAAATTCATCATTTCGTAAGTTCTATGGTAGATACTATGACCTTGTCTGCAAATACAATTTATCATTAAGTCAAATGCTAACTGACGATTTTCATACCAATTGTAAGTCCATTATTTATACACTGAATTGACGACGGATTTTTTCCGTTATTTCCTGATCATGACAAGGCGCTTACGGCGGGTGTGACCGGTCGGCACGGGATGCTCACTCCTCCATGGCACCTGATCCCACCTCTGTTGTTTCGGGGGTACGTGTTTGCTCTGCTCTTATTTTGTATTGTTTTATGGACTTTGAGATTGAATACTGTTCGTCATCTCCATATCCTTCTCGGAGCAATCTACGTTCAGTCTAGAGAGACAGTAGATTCAATTCAAGTGTGTTTTAAGTTAAAGGTCTTACGCAAGGAAATAGTCAATCAAAATGAACTTAGTCAAATGAATTTCTATATACATTGAGACAATTTCTTTTTCTTTTTTTCATTTTCGGCAACTTTTTTTAGGTCTACAATGTTAATTTTAGATTCATGCACTAAGGATATCATATGTTTCGCAGAATTGTGCAACT